ATTTAATTAATTTCATCTATCATAATTCAGTTTTACAAATCTTTTTGCATATTTTTTGAATCAGAATGCTCCTAAAAAAAAGTTTATGTAAAAAAATTTGATAAAATCTTTAGTGCATTCTTAGTTAGGTTAATTTTTTTTTACTAAAATTTGCATCTGCTATTACATTTAAATTTTTTTTTATTGTTAACTTTTTGTATTTTTAAAATCGATCAATTGCCCATCTCTCCACCATTCCACTTCATCATTTATATCATTTGTTTCATTGCTAATCGTTATTGTACAATTCAGCAGCACCTCATTACCAATCATATTAGCCATCAAATTTGTCGTACGCTCTAAAAAATTTTAAATGAAAATAAAAAAAGTTTAGAGAAACAAAAATAATACAAATTATTTAAATGAAAATAAAAAATTTGCAATTAAATTTTAAATCAAAAAAAAAAAATTCGCCATTTTTTCGACTAAATTAAAATTCTTAGTACAGTAAAATAATTATTGGTCAATTAACATTACCTATTAGTAAATACTAAAGTATTTACCTCTTAAAATACATACCATCCTCTGTATTTATGTAGAAAATTTGAAAATTTACGAAAAATTAGTTATTTTTAAAATTTTCACTTTTTTCTTTGACAAAGGAAATGTTTTATATGCTATTATTATTATTGTTATTATTCAATATTATTATTCATGTATAGCGCTGTTGGAAATTTTTCTCGTTCAATAAAAATTAAATTTGTGTTATGAAAAATTGCCGGCATAAGGAAAAGCAGTAAGCGGGATAATTATGATGCCCGAGGGAGCGAAAATTAATGGACACCATTTTAAAAATATATTCTCAGCGGTAACATATTCGTTGAATATTGGACCAATAACAAATGTTGTAAAAGCTGATAAGAATAAAATTTAAATACATTTTATTTAGATGAATGCAAATTACGAAATTAATGACTAATGGATAAATAGTTTTTCAAAGTTTTTTTTTTTTGGAATTTTAATTAGTTGGTAAAGTAATTAGTTGATTAGGTGATAAGGTAAAGGAATTAAAAATTCATCATTTTCTTAAATATTAAATGATCAAATTGCATTTTCTTGCATGTTTAATTACTTCTCTGTGCTAAAAAAAAAAATTGATTAAAACGGTAATTAAATACTTAAAAACAAGAAAAGAAGCACAGAAATTAATTACTTGCTGGTGAAGATGATTCTTTGAGATTGCGTGTTTCTGAAAAATGCAAACAATGTAGCAACAAAAAAAAAGAAAAAAAAAACGGACATATAGAAATGTTGAAAGATTTATTTTAAAAAAGTACTATTGAAATTTGCAGAGATTCATTAATGATAAAAATTGAGCAATCAAATTGGATAGTAAAAATTTTGAAAATTTAGCTATCATTATTTATGACCGTATCAAAAGATGTCATATCATATCAGTATATTGTGTAGAGTAGTGATATGATTACTACGGTTAAGAGGATATACATATATCACTCATGATTTTAATATCAGTGATCGGGATTTCTTATTTCCGACAAATGAGGTTAATTTTTTGTAATGATTTACCGATAACATTCAAATATACCGCATAAACGGTACTTCTCGGTTCGGTGTTCACTTCACATAAATAGCAACCTGAATCTGACCTTTCCACTCGTCTGTAAATGTTAAATTAGGTGAATGTATTGATGAAATTGATCAATTAATTATTGGAAAGAGAAAGCGAACTCATATGGTTAACTGTATCGGATAGGTAATTGTCTCACACAGTATAATTTTTTTCTAAAATATAAGTTATCATTGTGATTAAAATACAAATTTAAAAATTTACAAATGATAAATATACACAAAAAAGACACAGCTTATATGATAGAAAATTGCTAAATGAATGATAAATACAACGCAAACGTAACTGACGTAATTGTCTTTAGTTATACTCAAACGTCACATATCATCAGTTCATTCATAAATATGACGTAAACGTAACTGACGTAATTGCCTTTGGTTATAGTTAAACGTCAGATATCATCAATTTATTTCATAAACATCAGATATCATCAATTTTATCATCAAATCAATTTACCTAATAATTAACATCCAATCAACTTCAGATGGTTTAAGCGATATCTGAAACCTGGAATCAGTAGTGAATGATTGCTCACCAGCAGTCAATAAAGCCTCATCACGCAAACGTGTCCATGCTACCTGAAATAAATTAATAAATGAAAATAATATGAAATTAAAACAAAAAAAAAGAAGAAAGAAATGCTTACAAATTTTCTTCTTCAATATATTCAAGCTATCATTGATTTCAATTTCACAATAGCGACAACAAAAAAGGCTTGTAATAAATAATTTTACATGCTAACAATTAATTAAATGAATGAATGAATGAATGAATGAATAAAATTTCAGTGATGCAAAAATTTCAATTGAATTAACAAAATATGTAAATGTAAACGAAACTTTTTAATGCTTTAACAGTGAATGGAATAATCTTTTTATAAAATTTAAATTCATAAGAATGATAAGACCATATTTTGCTTTAAATGTGGTATTGTGCAATGTAGATAAGCTGGCTCATGCAATGATACTTGAACGATACGTTGCTGTATATTCTTTGAAATTTGCATATTTTCATTTAATCGCTCCATTAACAAACATTCTCGATATTTCTCTTGTGTTGTTAAAGATTGAATGTCTAAAAAAAAAAAGTAGAAAAAAAGTGTTATATTTCATTTCATAATTTGAAATGTTTAAATATACAATAAAACTGAAAATGTTCATTTTTCTTTTTTTTTTTTGTTTGATTAAAAAACTGTTCATTTCCTCCAAAATGATTTATTTAATAATGCATAAAAATTCAAAAAATGTCCGGAATTTTTTTGTTCATTTAACTGATTTTTATTGCAGTACTAACTGACTTTCAGTCAACTGAAACAAAAAAAAAAATGAAATAAAAATAGCGGAAGGAAAAAAGGGAAAAAAGTTTGCTTTTCTTCTTTTCGAATTTCAAAAAATTAGAAAAGAAAAAAATACCTCCATGGGAAATATTTATCATATTATATGCAGTTAGCATGAAAAATATTGTGAAGAATTTTTTTTTTGCAAAAATTTCAAATTTTTTAAAATTTTGAATAATGTAAAATTTTTTGGAAGCTTTTTCTTTCTTTCTTCCTTTTTTGATGTAAATTTCATCGTTTTTTTTT